ATCATGTATGAATGCATCATTTAAAGTCACGTAGGTTTATGTCATACTGTGACAGCTCTTTCTCTTTAGAGTTTAATAATGGTCTTAAGCCTTGACATCACTGCCTTTAGGCAATTGACCTATACAAGACATGTACAAGCAAATTATATTGACTTTAGATAAGGTATAAAAAATACATGACGAAGATAAACCTTTCTTACTAACAAAACAAAAAAAAGTGGTAAAAGAAAGTCTTTAATTACTGCTGTACAGAGAACCTGAAGAACCAAAGGCTGTTTACAGTGAAATGGCAAACTGCTGATGGAAAATCTCTTTGGCAGCATGTGAGGAAATGGAGAAGTGAACAAAACACAAAAGAAACAGTTCATGTTAAACTTCCTGCCTGCATAAAAATCCTGCATCAACCTTCCTAGCTCTATGGAAATTGCAAGTTAAATATTTCATTCCTCAGGTTTATTACTTTTAAGTGCCCAAAATTTATAAAATGTTTCCAGAATTGAGTGGTCATTTTGCTAAAAGGCCCACAGCATGATGCTAATATGAGATAAGGAACTGCAGAACTGCCATTGCAACAAGGCATTGCTAAAGGTGTCGTTTGAAATATCATGTACCAGGTGGTCATTTATACTCAAAAAAGATAAAATTGAACTGGAAGAGAAGCAGAAACAATCTATAGCAATGATTAAGTAAAATGAGAACTTGCAGAGCTTGGGTTGTTTAGCCAAGCAAAACAAGAGACGGAAGAGGACACAAGGACTCTAGAAATACGTCTTTGGAGGAACAGAATGGCTCAAGCTGAATACACACACTAATATAAAATCAAATTACTGTAAACTGATTGTGAATAAATCTATTCTGTAAATTCCTAATAACTGAGGAGCAAAATTTTAAGGGTGTACACATCGGCTATAGGAGAAAGCAAAGCTAAATTTGTTTTAAGATTAACTTAGTAGGTAGAGGTGTACACCTCTCTTAGTAGAGAGAGGTGTAAAATAGAGTATGAAAATGTCTGGGACTAGGAAGTTGGTGGCTCACTTCAGTCCTCTAGACAGCAGCAACTAGTGCCATGTCCTCAAACACTGCTCCTGGCCTCCAGCTGCCAGTCCAGTAAAGTTCTTCTACAGGATCTGGGTAGTATTAGCCAGAACTGTGTAGATTTTTCAGCTAAGTTATAGCATCACAAATGGCATGAGTTGACCACGTTCAAGCTTCTGAGTCAGGCTGTGAGGATAGGTAATCAGACTTAGGTATATCATGTGCCATGTAGGTAGAAACATACCCTAAGTACCTGGACCTTTATGAGCTTGTATTGAATTATAAAGTGTTCTCAAGACTTCTTACTTGTCACATTTGGAGGTCAGGGAGAACTTCCCCAGGTAAATGCTCTAGTTTCTAGGGGAGGCAGGTTTTTCTTTCAGTTTTGAAGCTAAAAAATATCCATCATAACTGCAGGGAGGAAGTTAAAGAGATATATTTGAGGGTCACAGTGCATTATATATTCAAGCTGATGCTGAGGGTTAAAGAAGGTATTGATCAAGAGATGTTTTTTCCTCTCAAGTTTGACTTAAAAGGTCTTTTTGCTTTTTCTGTATAGAGAAGAATGTAGTCAGGCTTTGAGTGATTTTAGTTGAACATATACTGTGCTATTAAAGAGCCTAGAGATGTTCTGTTTCTCATTCATGCTTCCCATGGCACAGCTGTGACAGCCTGTGTAAAATTATGAATTCAGTACAGGGTGATGGAGATGTTTTGCACTCTAGGGTATTAGTTACTTGTGGAGTGTCTACTGCCTTTGGAACTAGAGATTTTTCCTTGGTTACCCACAGCTCTGGGTGTTCTAACCTAGATGAACCAGACTGTCTACAGATCATGACCTAGACTGTCTCTTTCATATGCTTCTATTTTTATGTCCATATTAGCATAATAATCAATTCTGAATGCTGGAAGAACTTACATTATGCTGTCCTGAATTTTCTGTGAACCCCAGCAGTATGTATTTATATACTGATTTCCTAGCTCCTGGACATCTTTTCCCATGTGTCAGAATAAAGAGATGCTATTTTATTTTAGATTTTCAGTGTCTTTGCTGTAGTCTGGCTCTTTTCAGGAAACATCTCAATGTGACAGTTTTTTAATTTTAATTTTTTTTTTAATAAAAGTCACATACATATTGGATATATTAGAAAAATTCCCAGGAAGGTGTGTTGCCACAGTTTTATATTTGAAACTATCCACACAACTGTAAGTATAAAATAGCACTATCCACAGAGAATGTAACCTACACTACACTAAACTGTGAGAACTGTGTGTGCCATTTGAGTATTCAGTTGTTTTACCAGAGGCTGCCATGTGGTTATGAGGAGATAAGTATAAATGGCCAGGTAGAAATAAAAAGCAAGAAATAAAACATTTAGATATACAATGTGCTTGTAAAAAAACAAACAAACAAACAAAAAAAACCTAAAAACCAACCAAAAAACCTTCAACATAGTATCTGGGAGATGAATGGAAAAATGAAAAATGTGTAACTGATGACTTTCTCCCAAGAAAATGAAAACTGATGTCTCAAGATCGCAGTCCTCATATTCAAAAGCCCCCTTGGGAGAGATTTTGGGAGAAAAATGGCAAAACTATCTCCTGAAACAGCAGCTGCTTCAGGAGGGAGTTGAATGAGAATCCGAGTTGTTACAGGAATGCAATGCTGAGTCAGAGTATTCTGATGGGAAATACCCCAGACTAGGATGGGTGTCAGTTCACCAGGGAAAGTGAGCCAGCACGTGAGCCATGACGCTGATCTAGCATCCTCCTCTCCTGGACATGAGGAAGCAGATCAGGATCCCGGTGCAGAGAGCTGTAGTTATTCTTTCCAATATCTCAGTCGTTAGTCATAGCTAAGACCTAGTAGATGACTCCATATGAATCAGGTCAAAATCAAGAGGCTAGCTACAATCACAGAATGTAGGAATATATTAAAGGAAGCAGGAATTACACTACATATCACTTCTTATATTTTAGTTTATTGCCCTGTCACTGAGAATAGAGGCTGCTGCAGCTGAAAGCAGTGTATACAGGTACAAATCACAGAATCACAGAATCAATTAGGTTGAAAAAGACCTCTGAGATCATTGAGTTCAAGCAATGAATTTGGATACAAATTTTGCATGTCAGCAGGTTTGTTGATGACTGAACCCAGGGCTAAAGTTCAGTCACAAAACTATTGCAAATTCCCCTGATACAGAGGTAGGGCAGAGGAAGTCTGAAGAAGACAGTTATGTTTGGCTGACGGCTGGACAGTGCTGAACTGTGTGCAGGAAGATTGCAGTGTATAGACTATGGATCCTTTTATTGCTGTTTTCTTATGGCATGCAGTGTTACTGAAAACAGTATTTTGAAAAGGCTGTTGAGTCACCGTCTGTTCCTGCTTACAGCTCCCAAGAGCAGAACAGCAGGTAGAGAACATTACTCAGGCTTGTTGAAGCAATCCCAGTTTAGCAAATGAGCATCTGATATCCCAGCTCTCTTTTAAAAGTGTAAGAGACACTGGATTCAATACCAGGCAAGTAACCTCCTCTAAAGCCGCATTCAGATCAGGGAGTGGTATGGATGCAAAGATTATATACTTTATTTCAGAGGTCCATTCAGCTTTGTCTTAGCAAAAGACTTTGAGGGAATTCACAAACTTGCTCCTCATTCAAACTAGAACAATATGGTCCATAGATGTGTCTGCATTATATTTACAGTGTCTACCCAGCTGTATATTCAGGGCATTCGCATTTGTGAGACTACGGTCCCAGCCTCCTTCACTGCAAATATACCATTATTAAGGTATTATAACCCAATAGCTCTTACATTCTTTTACTCTGCTTTTATGGTAACCCATAACACAGAGTTATATCTTCCTTTCTATTAAGGGCCTGAACACCTACTGAATTCTGTGAAAGTCTTTCTCGTAACTTCAAATAATTGTGGAACAGCCTCCAGGTAACTGCTCACTCAGTTGCTTTGAGTTAGGTTTTTAAGTGAATTTGATTGTTATTCAGTAGTGATGTCCTCCAGTGCAGGACCTATTTTGTATTGACAGGAGTAGAGATTCCTCCTGCTGAGAAGACAAGAGATGGTGTACAGCCAGCTACAGCTTCTGTAGTTCCAGAGCTTTTCCTTCCAACACCAACACCTTGGCAGCTGTTGAAGCAAAGTCTGACCCTCAGCACTGTATCAGTTTTTACATCCACTGCTCTCTGCACTAACATCTTTTTTTTCACTTTTGCCATAACTGGATGTATTTTGTATTGCCCTTTTTCCTCTATTAGCCCAAGACTGACAATAGTGGAATTTCACAGCCAATACAAGTACTATTTACATTTAAGAAATAGTCAAATATTCACCTGTATGAAAACCACAATTGTTCCATGCTTTGTGTCGGTCTGTCTAATGCTTTTCTTCCCTCTACGTGTATATTCTTACACCATTGCATCGTGAGGCATGTAACACAGTAAAGTACGGCCAGCAAAACCCACATCCCTGTCCATGGAACATATCCCTTTTCATTCAGCAATTTCTCTGCTGCAACGGGTATGGTTCATTTCCTCTAACTGAAAATCAGGTCCCTAGAGGAAAGTGTCTGCTGTGCATGAAAATACACTGTCAGGCAAAAATGATGCATTCCTTGGTTTTAATGTTTAATGTGATTCCATGATGACCCTCAGCCCACACAGCAGGAACTTCTAACCTAGATGATGTTGGGCAACTGAGAGAATTAGTTAGACAAATGTTCTTTTTGTTCAGCAAGTCATTCCTGATATGTTCTACCACTGAGCTTTTGTATTGCAAAGCCAGTTTGTTTGAAGTAAAACTGGCAGATAATTTTGTGAGTAAATAATTGCTTGTCAGAAACTGTTGATGTGTCCAAATAGAAAAGTATTGCTGAGAAGCACTCACTCGACTTTTAAAGGACAAAACTTAACTGGTCAAATTCAGATGGAAGACAGATGTTCACTGACCTTAAAAGAGTTTCAGGCAGGTACGTGGGAGTAAGAATCCAACCATGACGTTCTTGCTTTGTGTATTTCAGTCCATGGATCTGAAACTCACACACCCACATACCCAGCAGGTTTTCTGCTTTCTGGACTATTAAGTCATCTTTCCTTATGCTCTTTCCAAACAGATGATGCAGTTATCCATGTGAAGTGGAGTATCTGCAATAGGAAAGACTGATTGACTCAATAATGTGATTCAGGCATTTGATTAAAATCTACCATTCCAGGGTTCAAATATCTGTTTCAGCAGTAGCCTAGAGAAGGATAAAAACATCAGGTGAAATGTAGACAGAAAGAAATACAGAAGTTCAAATCCTTTGGCATATTTGGACAGAACAAAGCCTTTAACAGAGCTCTAGATTTTTAGCGTGCTAGCTGTCAAGATAGTACGTAATATGGAATAGACAGGTCTGCCTTTTTTACTACTAACTTTGAAAAGTCCTAATGTTATTTCAATGTATAATATACACACATACATACCAAAACATCAAACCGGCACAAAAAAGATCTCCAGGAAAAATGGAAAAGATTTTTTTTTTTCTCTGAGCTTAATGCAACAGCCTGTAACACAGGAGTGGAAGAATCAGTAATGCTTTGCACTCATGTGATCCTTTGAGAACTCATATTCTGTTTAAAAAGTTAATAAATTCATCTTCATGGATTTCTTGAGGTAGATATTGTGAGAAAAATGTAGTATCGAGTTAATAGGTTCTCCATACCAAATAAAAATTCATTGGTGGAACTGCAAAGGGAACATAAACATATAGCCCTCAGCCTTACCTACGACATTATCCTTTTCCGTAAAGTGTTCTCCCTTCCAAAGGTATCACAGTCAGAGTTGAAGGAAAAGATGCTTTTTCATCTCATCTATCCTGAGGTTTTTCCTTTTCTCCTGTTCCATGAGATGGGTTCAAGTACTGTCTATAAGGGAAGGGAGAATTATTCCAATTGCCCAGTCCTCTGTATTTAAAGCATATTCCTAATCAAAGCAGTTTGAAGTATTTTGGCCTTGGATCGCCTTTCCCAATGTTGAACAGACTCTAATGTACACTAGAGAAATTATGGTGTAATTTTTTATAACAACTTTTTCATTAAAGCATCACACTTCAACAAACTATTTCAATGAATCACTTTCTTTTTTCCAATGAAAACATATTTTGCTGAGAAATTTCTAACCACTTGACTTTCAGAATCAGTTAATAACCTGGACCTAAATCCTGAATTCCTTCCTGAGGCTTACTTCATCCTTTCAAGGGCTTGATCTGCTAAATTAAAAAAAAATTGAGAGAGGTACTAGAAATAACAATGTTTTATCATTTGTACTTTGTTAGGAAAGCAATTTTATTCATATTGAAAATCTCCTAGGAACTTTCTTTTGACTGTAGTGACATCTACTGGTACTCAGAAAATTTTCTGGATATGAAGTAAGAATAAATATATCCAAATGACACTAGGTATGGGGCCCAGCATTTTGACATTTTACTTCTGAGTAGGAGAGAAGGAAAAAAGTAGATGTTCCAGAGTTTGGGCATGTATCCTCCCAGGGACTGCAGGCTTGCTCTTCTTTCTTGATGTAAGAATAAAATTATTCAAGTGGAGAGAGTGCAAATTCAAGTGTTTTAAAAGGCAAAGGAACTAGATCACCCAATACATAAGAAGCGGATCATTGACCACTTTCTATTCCACAGTGAACAAAAGAAAGGAAAAGACTGCAAGGGAGGGAAGAATTCAAGAATGCAGAGGGGTCTATAGAAGCAGCCATACTGGCAGAAATAACAGAAGGGTAATGGCTTGAGCTGTCTGATATCTCCCTCTCTGAGACATTGAAAGGAAGCACCAGCACAGTGAAACCAGCCCAGCAGTAAGCTAAGAAACTGCAATCCTGTACAGAACACCTAAGGGCATCCAGACCCCATCCCTGCTTTCTTCGCATGGTGCACAGTTAATTACTGCCTGTACCCTCCAGAAGACTGGATCCACAACAACAATGGGGATGTCTACATCTTCCTGCTCTTCACTAACATAATCCTTGCTTTGCCTTTACCTTTCAAATAGATAGTGGGTGCTTAAGAAAATACTGTAAAAGAGCTAAGGATTTTTATAAGATACTCATATAGGTATTTTTCATTGTAAATTCTCTCCTTCCATGTTTTTTTCTTTTTGTGTTTGACTGTAAATTCATAAGGAGAAGTACATAACTTATACTACACTTATGAAGAATTGTCAAATATGCCTTTGAAGCATGTTTGTATAGTAATACACTCAAAAGTTATTTATACATAAGGGTCCCCCTCATTTTATTTTTCAAACAACCAGAAAATCTTGTACACTTTAGCTGAATTCTATGTGGAAATATGCACAACGAAGAAAGTACTTACAAAAGTGCCCTTTCCTTAATGGCATATGAGTGTTTTGAAAGTCAGTACTAAGCATATTCAAATAGCAAATACTTACTAGGTATTTCTGAAATGACTGACAAATATATCAAAAAATATTGTCCAATGCCAATAATTTAATGCTAGTCAAAGTCAGAAAGCTGCCTTGTTTAATGCATTCAGCTAGTCTGTTCCCCTCTGCCTTTCAGTTAAAATCAAAAAGACATATGTTAATGAGAGCCACCTCTCTGGACTTTGCAAGTTTCCACATTATCTATGAATCTATCCTGTAGCCATTTGGAGAAGCACTGAGAGCAAATGAGTTATGAGTCATGGGAAGAAAAGAAAGGCATGTCACAAATATTGAAATTAAATGCAAAGGGAAATGACAAGTATTGGAAATATGAGCTGCCTAACAAGCAACAGATAGTAAAATAAGTCAAAAGCTGGAAATGGCAAATAATACAAGAAGACAACTACTGGGAAGAAAACACAATAAAATAAGGGAATGAAAACAAATACAGAACTAATGGCATCATTGATCCTAAGGACTCCTGAAAGGGTAAGACAAAAGTACTGAAACAAGCAAAGCTTTAGGGAAGATGCTAAATTAAGGCACAGTACAAAATAAGAGATCAAAAGATTCACTTAGAGGCTTGATCAGAAGCATCCAGTTTGTCATTGATGGCCTTTCTGACTTTGTCCTTTTTGTTATTGTGGTGGTGGTGGTGGTGTAACTTCGGTATATTCTATTTGTTTCCTGGCATATAAAAAGTAAACACAGATACTGTTTTCAGGACCATGGAAATTTTTTAAGATCTTTGGCCATTTGTTTTAAATGTGGGCTTCAGACTTTGATTTACACCTTGATGCAAGTCTTAATGACTTGCAGAAAGTACACTTGCTAAGCAAGGCAGAAATTTCTCCAAGCTTATTTATTGATTCTAAAGGAAGAAGAAAGAAGAAAGTACGAAAATAAAGATGAAAGGTCACAGTCTCAGCTGAGATATATGAGTGTAGTTAGATGAGCTTCTGATTTATATTACTTAGGAAACTCACCTTGAGGCTCTGTCACTGTGAGACAACTTCTGAGGGTGACATCTGCTAACAGGGCAAGATCTAGAGAGGGAATAGATTTGTAATTAAGAGCATTATTTACTCAGCCTAACCTAGGGCACCTCCATCAGGCATCTGCTCTTGACTGGACACTCTCTGTGAACTGACTTTACATGGAACCAAGGGAAGATACAGCAAAACTGAAAAGGCTTAGAAGTAGCTACACCAACACATTTATGAAAAAGCTTACCAATATGAACTTAATACATGAACATAAGAGTACTGGAGATCTTAAGGGAAAGGTAGCAGTGAACTTCCCTATCTCTCATGATTATAGCTGACATCAGTATAACTAATAATGGGATCAAATTAAGAGTGAAGCTTCCACCCTTTAAATGAAAGTTGGCAGCACTGTAGAGCCCAGCTGATTTTAGGGGATGCTCATGAAGCATCCTGAGCATGATGTACAGGCATTAAACTAAACATCTGAATATGTGTCTGATGGAACAAGACTAGGAATTGGAAATTCAGAGTTTTTATCACTTGCATAAAAATTATTTTACATTGTCGTTTTGTATTTTCAAAGGGCCTTCAAGTGAAGACTATCATTTAAGTGAATTAATCACCCACAATACTGGAATATAAATGAGTATCAGCCCTAAGCATAGCCTACTAAGAAAATGTATCTATTTTGCCCTTGGACTCTATTTTACAAGGAGTTTTAGTGTCTTGATAATACAATTTGTAAGTTGAAATGTAACATTTATCAGAATATTTACCTTACTAACTTTTATTTTAAAAGTTGTAAATTGCAGGGTAAAGGGCTTAACATAAAATGTAAAATGTTTCATATTAACAGCAACTTTAACATAAATACAAAAAAAAAGTTTTGAACTCGGAGTTAGTTGAGACGACTATCGTTATTATTTCTGCATTATTGGTAAACAGGTCTTATTCAGAGAAACAGATATGATGGGAAACAGAACAGAGAATAAACTTGGAATATAATTTTACTTAACAAGACACTATGGCTTGAAGAGTAAAGACAGAAAAACCTTAAGATATTGAGCTACACCAAGTATAGCTGCAATTTAAAAGGTTAAATATTTCTGCAAAAGCAGAAGAGTGCTTCATTGAGGTGGAGTCTGCACCTCTAACCATGGGGGAAGGGAAGAAGAGTCTTTGGATGTGGTGGTGAAACCTCAGACTCTACACAGCAACAGCTCAGGAGCAGAAGGTCCCACACAGCAATAGGACTGTGGGATAGGACCAGGCAGTGGCCAAATGTCCTGGGACTGGACTACACCAGTGCAGAGCAGGGACTCCAGACCCCCACCAGACCCCAGACCAATTTCTGGAAAGCTCAAGTAAAGAGGAAGATGCGTCCCTGGCCAAGACTGAACCCAGTCCATGGGGGCGGGAACCAAAAGCTTTAAAAGACTTGGTCCCGGATAAAAGAGGGGGGTCTAAGGGCAGAGGTACCCTCCCACCGTCTCTCCCTCCCTTCCTTCCTCCCTCCCTTCCTTCCTTTTCTTTTTCTCTCTCTCTTTCTCTCTCTCTTTCTTTTTCTTTTTTTCTCTCTTTCTCTCTTTCTCTTTTTCTTTCTCTTTCTCTCCTCTAGGAGAGCAAACATATGTTGTTTGGATAGTGCTGATTGCTAATTTCACCCAGGCTTAAACTCAAGTCAGTTCAGTTATTGCCAACAAATATTGCTATATTCACAAAGATGTCTGGATAATCGCCATTATCCCAGTCTTTATCACTCACAGATTCAAAACAACCTACTCCTTTCCCACCGAGTGGGATGGGACACTGACAACTATCAACAATATAACTCCAGATCCAACATCCTGCCTTCAGCAAACCAGAGGTGCTTTTAGGTCACACAACAGGACACAGAGAATTTATAAACCCCATATAACAGAAATGATGTGGATAGCACCACTTTCTCATAAAGGTTTTTTGCAAACTATGTACACTAAAATTATTGTATACTATCCTATACTAAAACTGAAAACATGGCTGATTAGGGAAAATTATACTTTTTTGTTTAATTTGACTTATTAATTTTAAAATTCCATAAGGAGAGTAATTAGAAAACCACAAAGATGAAAATAAATTATCAGGAGCAAAATTAACTGACTAAGTATTTTAACTAATGCTCGCAAGAAATATATCAGAGGAATATGCACACCATATAAAGGGTTTCTTGCATGATATTTAAAAAGCATCTAAGAGTAAAGATTAATTTAAATATATAGAAAATTACACAGCCGAAACAAATAAATAATAATCAAGAGCCAGAGTGATCAGTTCTAGACTTGTGATTCATGAAGGTTGACTTACCACACCTTAAAGATAAAATTGAGTAAAACAGTGAAACTTCTATCAAGACAAACATTAAAATTATTATAATTAAATAAGAAAACTACAAGTAGGAAGACTAGAATGAAAATTCATATTCCTAATATTAATAGATTTTTGTTTGAT